GGGGGGGGGGGGGGGGGGGGGGGGGGGGGGGGGGCTGCTCCAGCTTGTCCTGACCCAGGGGGCAACTGACCCGAGCTGAGCAAGAGGGGCAGGTATTTGAGCCGCTCTGAATGTCGGGGGGGGGGGTGAGGGGGGGGGGGGGGGCAGCGGCGAAGGGGCCCTCGGACGGGGCGGGGGGGCCAGGCCCACCCGCTGCATGGCCCTGCCAAGGCGCTCGTGCGCAGGCCCCTCGGGCCCATCACCAGGTGGGGCGGGAGGGACCTCGAGTGAGCGGCACGTCCAGCCCCCTGCGCTGAGGCCCAAGCAAACCCGGACCAGCCCTCACCAGCCCTGTCCAACCTGGTCTTAGACCCCTCCGGTGACCAGGACCCCACCGCTGCCTTCTCCGACACCTGCCCAGCGCTTCCCCCGCCTCCTGGGGCGGCTTTTCTAACCCTCCTCGGCTTTGCTGCTCTCCTCCGGACTCAGCTTATTCCCAGCTACCAAGTGTGGGGCGCCCAGAACCGGAGTCAGGATCCAGCCGAGCCCCCCGCCCTGTGCCGAGCAGAGCGGGACACTCACCTGCCGGACGACTCTCCTGTTAATGTGCCCCAGGGTGACAGTCACACACACACACAGCCTGGGCGTGAGCCCTGCCCCAGGCCACTGGCCGCATTGCCAGCCCCTCGGGCTCCGGATCCAGGTCTCCGTCAACCCACCAAAGCATCGATCGTGTGCCGGGGCACCCATGGTCCTGGGGAGTGGCTCCCTGGCTGGGGGCATGCTTCGGGGCTTCCCTGCCCCCCCACTCCCGGAAACAGGCACATCTCACACAGGTGGCAGCTAACCCCTGGCATCTGGAGCGCGTACGTTTATCAGCCTGGCTGGCCCATTTGTCCCAGCAGCCGGGCCCTGGCTGGCAGAGCGCGCACACCCACGCACCACACCCCAGAGAGCTGTAAAACCCCACCGCCCGGCGCGACAGCTGCTCCCTGGGCTGAGCCCGGGGATTAAACCGGGCACCTCCGGAGCTACCAGGCCCAGCCAGCACGGCCTGAGCTGCAGAGCCCGGGCCTGGCCTGGGCACAGATAATGCACAAGGGCACGGCCGCTGCCCGTCTGGCACCTTCCACCACAGCCCCCGGCCCAGCCCACTCCTCTCGACCATGGCGCTGCCCTTGGCCGAGCTGCCTCCCGGGCGCAGGGACTTGCTGGCACATGCACTGGGGGTCCCCTCTCCCCGACCACCGGGGGAACTGGGCACGGCACCAGAACCCGCTCTGGAAATGAGCCCCCGGCCAGCCGGGCCCAGCGCCGGCGCCTTGGAGTGTGGGGTGCACACGGAGCCCCCCACGAGGCTCCAGGCAGGGGCTCGGCTCAGCGTCTCCCTGTTCTTAATGAGTGCTAACGAGGGTGTCACCAATGCTGCCTCTCCCCCGTGCCAGGCCCCCGCCGTGCCGCCCACCATGCCGGAACTCACCGCCAAAGTCACCAAGACGCTGAACAGAACCACGCCCGGGCTGCAGATCTGGAGAATCGAGGTGGGTGACGGGACTCGACGACGGGGGGGACCCAGCCGGGGATTGGGCTCCTGGCTCTCTGCGCTCTTCAGTGCCCGGGACTGAGAGCCCGGGACTGAGAGCCGCGGCCTCACGGGAATACTGGGCGGTGTCAGGCTGCCTGCAGCAGCGAAGGGGTTAACCCAGCCGCACATTGCGAGCTCAGGCAGGTGGCACAAGGGTACCTGGGCCGTCCCCCCCCGGCCTGGTTCGCCTGCACTGGTTTGCCAGGGGGAGGCCCCCTCCGGACTCAGCGCTGCGCGTTTCCTTCTCTTCCCAGAAAATGGAGATGGTGCCGGTGCCTCCCAAAAGCTACGGGAACTTCTACGAAGGGGACTGCTACGTGCTGCTGGCGGTATGGGCTGAGCCTGGGACGGAGCCGGGGGGGGCAGCGGGGCGCCCTCCTGGGTATGAGCAGCTGCATGTCTCGCCCCGTGGAGGGTGGGGGGGCGGCGTGGGGCAAGGTTGCTTAGCACCCGGCAGTGTGTGTGTGACAGCGAGTGCGGGCGTGCGCTGGGGCGAGCGGGTGTGCAAGCCGGGGTGTGCACGCCAGCCTGGGTGAGCGAGCTGAAGGGGGAATAGGCTGTAATATTTGTATGAGGTCCGGACAGCCGGACACCATGCCCACCTGCAAACAGGCGCCTGCCACCCGCTGGGGAGCAAGGCCGCATAGGGGAAACTGAGGCACACACAGGCCTCATTGAAATATTACAGCGTATGCCGCTTCGTCACAGTGCGAGGGGAGGGGAGGGCTGGGAGTGTGCACGTGTTCCGTGCAGGCCGGCGTCTCAATACGAGCGTGCCCGCCCGGGACTGCGTCCGGCTGCCGGGGCCTCGCCGCGTGCTGAGCGGCTCCTCCCGGTTAGCCGGCGGCAGGATCCCGGCCCAAGGCGGCCCGGCGGCCCCCAGCCCCCGGAGCTGTGCCCGCCGCTAGCCCAGTGTCCTTTGGCCGCAGACGCACAAGACCGGGAACAGCTTCAGATACGACATCCACTACTGGCTGGGCCGGGAGTCGTCGCAGGACGAGCAGGGGGCGGCCGCCATATACACCACGCAGATGGACGAGCACCTGGGCGGGGTGGCCGTGCAGCACCGCGAGGCCCAGGGCAACGAGAGCAACGTCTTCAAGGGCCACTTCAAACAGGGACTCATGTACGTAGGGGCCGGGGAGGCGGAGCCCCGCCCGCCTGGGGCAGGCGGCCCCCCAGCAGCCCCGATAGTGCGTGGGACCATGTCGCCCCCTAGGGGCCGGTCCCGGCAACTCCAACAGCCTGCGCCGGACCCGCAGCAGGAGGGGGCACGCGCTCTCGGTCCCGGGTTCGATCCCCGCTCTCGGCCGCGGTGCGGGTGCATGGGTGCAGAAGGGCTGTTTGGATCCGGACCCTGCTGTCTGGGCCCAGGATGGATCCACAACCCGCCCAGGGTAAAGGGAGCCGCCAGCTAGCCCCTGCCCCATGGGAGGGACTCGGGAGCCACTGAGCGGGGTCCCCGGAAGGCAGGCCTGGCAGGGGGTGGCCAGGTTGGGGGCCGCCCCCACCCCATAAGCAGATGCCCCTGCAGCTCAGCTCTCCTGGAGAACACCAGGTTTCTGTTCCCAGAGGCTGAGGGCCTCAGTTTCCCCAGGGACAGAGACTCGCTGGGACAGGCAGCAGGGTCGAGTGGCTAGAGCAGGGGAAGAGGAGCCAGGACTCCTGGGTTCTAAGCCCCCCCTGCCACCCCCGCTCCCTGTGCGACTGGGGCATGTCCCCGACCATCACCCGAATGGGGAGAGCGATCCTGAAAAAGCTGCCCCCTGGGGGGAGGGGAAGTTTAACCCCTTCGTGTCTGCAAAGCCCTGGGCAGGCTGCAGGGCCCTGGGGCTCCCCCCTCTGACCCGGCCTTTCCCCCCCAGCTATAAGAAGGGTGGCGTCGCCTCGGGCATGAAGCACGTGGAGACCAACACGTACAACGTGCAACGGCTGCTGCACGTGAAGGGCAAGAAGAACGTGGTGGCTGGAGAGGTGGGTGACGGGGGGGGAGGTTGGCACAAGCCCCGGAGCCCCCAGTCCACGGCCGCACGCTGGCTTTGGGCTTAAACCCAGCACCCAGGGCCCTTTGCCAAAAGCCAGCTCAGGGCAGCGTACACACAGGGTTCTCCTTCACTTCCTGTCCTAAACATCTGCACTGAGCTGCTGTGCGTCATTAGCAACCGCGCCCCACCCCAGAGGTGGCCGCATTTCAGCACGGGGCAGGTAATCCCTGCGTAGCGTTGCTGTGTGTCTGTTGGAGGGCTGTCACACCCCGCCCCAGAGGCAGCTGCATTTTATTGGGGGAACGCTGTGGCCATAACGCAAATGAGGCTAATGAAATTCAGTGCAATGGGGGAGCTGAGGCCTGAGAGGGTCATGTCAGGGTGAGCCTGCTCAGGAGCTCCTAGGCACTGGGACAGGGTGTGTGAAATGCAGCCTTCTGCGGGGGAACTCAGAATTGCATCGCTGTGTGTCATAGGCCCTGTACTGTCGCCAGCAGGTGGAGATTCCCCTTTAACTCCCATCCCAGGGAGAACCCTTTAGCGCTAGAGAACCCAGGAGTCCTGCCCCCAGCCTTGTGCTTTGCCCCCTTGCTCCCCCACTGACCTGGCTGCCTTCGCCTGCAGGTGGAGATGAGCTGGAACAGTTTCAACCAGGGGGACGTTTTCCTGCTGGACCTGGGCAAGCTCATCATCCAGTGGAACGGGCCGGAGAGCAATCGCGCCGAGAGGCTGAAGGTAGCGTGGCAGCGTCCCAGCTAGGAGGGGCCAGAACCCCCCCCCCCCCCGAGGGTCTCTGTGAGCGTTGGGCAGCCTCTGCTGCTGGGGTGCAGTCGCCCAGCCCTGCTGGTTACTGAGTGAGACCCGCTGGGGACGTGTCCACTGGGGTCTCTCCAGGGGCCTCGGCTGCTGCTGCAGTTCGCTCGGCCCCGATCCTTCCCCGGGAGCCCTGCTGGCTCCCCCCCCCATCCCTGCAGTGTTCGGGGCTCAGCCCCTCATCTCTGCTCTCACCTGAGGGAGTGGGAGACCCAAACACCCCCTCGGCAGAGGGAGAAGCTGGGATGGGACGTGGATCAGCTGTCCCTGCAGAGAGGGGGCTGCCAGGTCCCCTTTGCATGGTGGGGGAGCCCAAATGGGTTGGTCTCCCCCAAGTCAGCCCTGCCCCAAGAGAGGGGGTCTCCCCTATGGCAGCTCTGGTGCCCCTCACTCCTGACCCGCAGCCCCCTGCTAGCCCAGCCCTGCTCCCCACAGCTCTGCCAGTGCCCCTCACTCCCGACCCGCAGCCCCCTGCTAGCCCAGCCCTGCTCCCCACAGCTCTGCCAGTGCCCCTCACTGCTGACCCACAGCCCCCTGCTACTCCAGTCCTGGGCACCCCCTCCCAGCTCTGCCGGTGCCCCTCACTCCCGACCCGCAGCCCCCTGTATTATTCCATAAATCAGCTGCCCTGTGGCTGCTGCCCGGCCCGGGTTGCTCTCACATGCAGCCCCATGGCCTGTTTTGGTGCAGGGCATGAACCTGGCCAAGGACATCCGGGACCGTGAGCGGGGCGGGCGTGCCCAGGTGGCTGTGGTAGATGGCGAGGACGAGGCGACCACCCCGGAGCTGATGAAGATTCTCACCCATGTGCTGGGGGACCGGAGGGAGATCAAGCCAGCCATCCCCGACACCGTGGTGGACCAGAAGCTGAAAACCATTCTCAAGCTCTACCAGTGAGTCGCCCAGGGGGGAGGGGCCAACACGTAGTGTGTGGGGTGAAGGAAGCTGTCAGCCCCATGGGGAGAGGAGACCCCTGCACAAGCGGGCCTTGTGTGGTCTCCCCCCAGGACTCTCCCATGCCCTGGCATGCCCACACTGCATCTTATCTGAGGCTAAAAAGGGCTTCAGGCCCAGCAATCCACCCCCCAAAGCACTAGCTGTATAGCAGCTTCCTGCAGCAGTGAGTTCCACCAGTTAATTGCAATGTATTTCCGTTCTCCCTATTACCTTCTTCATGCCCTGTAGCATCCCCTGGTGCTTGCATCATGAAATACTCCTCCTGCAGAGACAGCAAGAGCAGCTACGGAGCAGAATCCCTCTGGGGCTAGTCAGAGCGGTGTCAGGTGAAGTCAGTTTTGAAGTCAACAGCAGCCGGTTTTGCTCTCTGGAGAGCTGTGGCTAGGCTTAAATGTCTCCAGCTGTAGCTGCTGTGAAAGGTTTTTAGGCGCGAACTCAGGAACCAGCCTGTCTCTGACGTGTCCCTGTTTCGCAGTCACCGTTTTCAGCCAACGTGCGCACAGCTCCCATAAAACGTTGGTTTTCCCTGGTTTTCGAATTCTCTGCTGGAAACCTGCTCTTTCGTAATCCGCATTCCTCCGAGGTAGAAAACAGGCATCAGACAGAGCCAGATCCCTTTCAGCGGCATCTTTGTGACCATCTGCAGGAAAGTCCAGGGAGTTAGAGATCTGCTCTGCCTGCGTAAATGAAAGGAGATCCCTGCATACCACCGGGGGGGTTGTGGAGTCTGCAATGTGAAATCTTACTTCCACCCTGTCCACTGTGATGGTTTGTCTCTGGGGCACGGAACAGGGGCATGGTGATGAGATTCTGCCACCTTCGTTGCTTTGTTTGTTCCTTTTGGTTGCAACCTTTGTGGCTGTTTTCCTTCTGTTTCTGTCTCCTGTTTACTCCTGACGCCATGTCATGTACCTCTCTAGCTTGCTTAGATCCACCAGCTGGCCTGTGTTCGTCATAAGATCTTTTCAGACTCTCCCAGGTAGGGCTGAGGTTAGCGTTAAATAAGTATTTCGCACGTAGCGCCACCAAGTGGCTGAATTGCGCAATCCAGTTTAGCATCCCCGGCCAGGTTCGCAGGAGAGGGCAGCTTTTAAAGGGGCAGTGCTCGCTTAGCTCAGGGCCCTGCGTTCCCCGCTCTGTGCGGGGCCATGGCTGAGCTGGGGGTGTCTCTGGTTTCTCGCAGTGTTTCCGATGCTGAGGGGAACCTGGTAATCCAAGAGGTCGCCACCCGCCCCCTGACCCAAGATCTGCTGCAGCACGAGGTACGTGGCCCCTGCGGGAGGCTCCCGAGGGGTTTCCTCTGAGCTCCTTGGGGCTGGGCGCACAGACAGACGGTCTCTCCAGCCCTCCCACCACGCCAGTATCTGAGCGGCGCGGTCCCTGCTAAGGAGGAGGGAATGTCTCCATCCCTTCTCCCACTTGACGCCCAGGGCGGCCCGCTGGGAGCTGAGCCAGCAGAGGGGTCCCCACGCTGTGGGATCCTGACCCATTGAGCCCACCAGGAGGCAGGCAGTGCAGCGCGCACTTGGGACCCATTGCTGGTGGTCCAGGGGGACTCCAATCTGACCCCTCTCCCCTGGCCCCCCAGGACTGCTACATTCTCGACCAGGGTGGCCTGACCATCTACGTCTGGAAAGGCAGGAAGTCCACCAAGGAGGAGAAGCAGCAGGCCATGAGCAGAGCCCTGGTGAGTGTGTGTGTGTGGGGGTGCCGGGGCAGGACCCGCAGCGGCTGGGATGGGGAGATACCCTGTGCCCCTCGTGCCCCGTTCCCAGCCCCCACAGGTCGCCAGGTGGGTGGGGGCTGCACGTGCCCAGGTGTGACCTCATGGCGCCCCCTGCTGTCTGTCAGCCCTGTGGAAATTAACCCCTTGGGGTCTGGACAGCTCCTGTGCAGTGGATTACTGGCTGGGAACCCCCCGAGAGGACGCAGCGCCCCCTAGAGGCGATTCTCACCGAGCTGCGTCAGTCCTGGAGGATTGGGGTCTGTCAGTGGGTGGGGCCCTGAGCTGCCCGCCGGGACCCTGCCTCTCCTTGCTCCACTATCACACCCAGTGTAACGGCCTTGCTTTTAGCGGAGTCACTCCTGATTGGCACCAGCACGGGCGACAGGCCCCCAGAGCTCTGCGCCTGCCACAGGGCACCCCCCCACTGCGTCGAACCCGCTGTGCGACAGAGCCTGGTGTTGTACACACGCACACACAGGTCCCCTGGCACACCTACAGCGATTCCCCCTTATACACACACACACCTCCCCTTACACAAGCATGCACACACACACTCAGATCCCGTTGCACATGCCTGTGCGCACCCATATTGCCAGCAGATCGAGGGACGTGATCGTTCCCCTCTATTCGGCATTGGTGAGGCCTCATCTGGAGTACTGGGTCCAGTTTTGGGCCCCACACTACAAGAAGGATGTGGAAAAATTGGAAAGAGTCCAGCGGAGGGCAACAAAAATGATTAGGGGGCTGGAGCACATGACTTATGAGGAGAGGCTGAGGGAACTGGGATTGTTTACTCTGCAGAAGAGAAGAATGAGGGGGGATTTGATAGCTGCTTTCAACCACCTGAAAGGGGGTTCCAAAGAGGATGGATGTAGACTGTTCTCAGTGGTGGCAGATGACAGAACAAGGAGGAATGGTCTCAAGTTGCAGTGGGGGAGGTTTAGGTTGGATATTAGGAAAAACTTTTTCACTAGGAGGGTGGTGAAGCACTGGAATGGGTTCCCTAGGGAGGTGGTGGAATCTCCTTCCTTAGAGGTGTTTAAGGTCTGGCTTGACAAAGCCCTGGCTGGGATGATTTAGTTGGGGATTGGTCCTGCTTTGGGCAGGGGGTTGGACTAGATACCTCCTGAGGTCCCTTCCAACCCTGAGATTCTATGATTCTATGATATTCCCCCACACTCATACACAGACCCAGAGATCCCCTTATGCACACACACATCCTCTCACACACCCGTGTGCACACACAGACAGATTCCCTGGCGCACACACACTGCTTGGTACCTGCTGGCACGGGGACCCGGGTGGAGACCCAGGAGTGTTTGGGGGGGGCTGTTAAAAGGCTGCCCCCCATCAGGGCGAGGGCGCCACTCTCCCTGCAGTGCCCCAGCCTCTCTGATCGCCCGGTGCAGCGCTGGCTTGGCAGTGACATCGCCGGCTGGACGAGGGGCTGGAGCTGGGACGCCCCCTCTCTGCTGCCCCCCCGCCCAAGGGTGCTGTCTCTTGCAGGGGTTCATCAAAGCCAAGAACTACCTGCCCAGCACCCGCGTGCAGACCGAGAACGACGGGGCCGAGTCGGCCATGTTCAAGCAGCTCTTCCAGAAATGGACCGTCAGCAACCAGAGCAGCGGCCTGGGCAAGACCCACAGCCTGGGCAAAGTGGGTAAGGGCCGGGGGCCCGGGCACCAGTGGGGCAGGGCCCAGCGCCAGGGGGTGGGGCCCAAGGAAGGGTCCTGTGGCAGCCTGCGGAGGGGGGTGGGGCTCAGCTTGGGGGGCTGCTGGGAGCCCCTCGAGACCACCCCTGCCCCCCAGCTGCGAGTGGACTGGTCAGCCGGCCGCGTGCCCCTCCCCCACCCAGCCTCAGTGCCCGTCTTTCTCCCCCAGCCAAAGTGGAGCAGGTCAAGTTCGACGCCACCACCATGCACGCCAAGCCCGAGGTGGCCGCGCGGCAGAAGATGGTGGACGACGGCTCCGGGGAGGTCGAGGTAAAGGACGGGCCGCCGGCCACCGGCCTGGCCACCAGCAGGGATCGAACCGGGGGCCCAGCGGGCCTGTCACAGCCCCGGCTCCTGTGTGGCTCAGCACAGGGGGGACACGGGGCCCCCCCCACCTGCTGGGTACATGGGCTCCCCCGTGTGACCAGTGGGACCCCTAGCTCGGGACACAGCTGTCAGGTGGGCGTTGATGGGGTCAGCAGAGCAAGGTGCCGTGGGGGATGAGGGGGAGGGCCCAGGGCCACGCTGAAGGCCAGACCAGCCAGCGTGCGGCTGAGCAGAGCCAGTGCCGTTGGCAGGAGGCTCACGGACCCAGCCCAGCTCCAGGACGTTAGCAGGCCTGACTGGAGTTGCTGGCACGGAGCAGGGCCACGCGCCTGGCGCATCCTCCAGGTGTCACATGGAGACTCAGACGTCGGCCCTCCGGATCCCTCGCCTCTGGGCTCTGCCCCCCAGCATCCCCCCAGCAGGGGGCGCTGGCAGCCCCTGAACTCCCCAGCCCTTGGACTCTGCCCCCGCAGCATCCCCACGGCAGGGCCCAGCCGGCCCCCAGGGGCTCAGCACTGCCAGCTGCTGGGGGGTGGGGGTGGTAGGAGCCAGCCCCCGGCTCATTCCCGGCTCCCCGGCAGGTCTGGCGCGTGGAGGACCTGGAGCTGGCGCCGGTGGAGACGCGCTGGCTGGGCCATTTCTACGGCGGCGACTGTTACCTCATCCTCTACAAGTACCTCGTCAACAACAAGCTCCACTACATCATCTACATCTGGCAGGTGCGTGGGGCCCCCATTGCCCCAGTCTCCGATGGGCTCAGGGCCTGGGTCATCCCGGACCCCCCAGCCGAGATCCCAGCTCCAGCCGGGGCCAGGGCCAGCAGGCGTGGGATGATCTTCCCCCGCACAAATCCCGTCCCGACTGTGACAGGTAGAGATCGGCTCTCGCTCGGATGCCAGGGGTTAATCTCCCCCAAATCAAGTCGTCACTGACCAGGCTACCTCTGCATGTTCTTGTTACCCGTAGACGTGTCCAGTCTCAATTCTTGTCTTCAGCGCCATCCTGTGGCAGAGAGTTCCGCAGGCCGATCACGCGCTGGATGTACATACCTGGGCTTCGTTTTGAATTTGCCCCGTTTCAGTTTCATGTAACATCTCCTTGTTCCTGTGCTGTAACCACAGGGCCAGAGCCCACGCACCCTGGGCCAGCCGCTCTCCAGTCACCGCGCGGCATCCCAGAGCAGGGGGTGGGAGTGAGGTCACAACACAGGGGGGTGCCCCCTACCCACGATGCAGGGACGGTCAGTTAATGCTAGCCAATGGCCACTCTGGGCTGGTTTGCATCTTCCACTTGCCACTCAGATCCTAGCCAGCCCGTTAATTCGCTGAGGGGCGGGGCTTTATCTTCATCATTATTTCCCAGGTGGGGAAACTGAGGCCCGGTGAGGGGCTCCCCTGACTTTCGTGGTTGCGTGACTCGCCCAGTGCTGGGTTGGTGTCGGCGCTGGGCCCAGGGCTCCTGTGGCTGGGGGTCCTAGGGGTTGCGTGGCTCCGCTCTGAGCCCCTCTCCTCCGTCCCTTGCCCTTCCCTAGGGCCGCCACGCCAGCAAGGATGAGATCACCGCCTCGGCCTACCAGGCCGTCATCCTGGACCAGCAGTACAACAACGCGGCCGTGCAGGTGCGGGTGCCCATGGGCAAGGAGCCTGCCCACCTCATGGCCATCTTCAAGGGAAAGATGGTGGTGTACGCGGTGAGTGCCCGGGATGGGGGCGGGCCCCTTGCCTGCCGCTCCACCGGTGCCAGCCCAGGGCCCGCTGGCAAGGTGCCGTGACCTGTGCCCACGAGCGCAGTGTCCTGGCCTGTGACCCCAGGGCTGCTTGAGGGGGGAGTGGGGCTAGGTTGGTCCATACGCTGCTTGGCCAATGGACGATACGACTGGCCACTAGATCTGCTACCAGCCCGCCGGTGGGGAGTTAAACAGTTCTGAGAGGGAGGCCACGGGCCCAGCTGATTGGTCAGTGGGCCCAGGACACCCCTGGGCAGATAGCTCGCTTGGGCCAGCGGGGCCAGTAACAGATGGTGCTGCAATCGCGGTTCTGCGGAGGGCGCTGGGGTGGCACCGGGCACTGCCCATCTGCCTGCAATAGCCAGCCGCTGGCTGACAGCTCAGCTCCCCGCCAGCCACGGAACAGAGCCCCGGGCAAGTGGGGACGCGGGCGGCGTTATCCCCTTGGTGCCAAAGGGGAAAGCGAGGCACAGGAAGAAAGCACTTGCTTGAGGCTGCCCCACAAGCCAGGGGGCAGAGGCGAGGCGAACCCCCAGCATCGGGCACTGGCTGGCAGGTGGGGCTTGGGATGAAATGGGCAAGCTGATCCGTGGGGCTGGAGCAGGTGCGGGCTCCCCCAGGCTGCCATGGCCGACCCATGAGCTGCGTTCATGGGCGGCGAAGGGGCTCCCAGCCTTAGGTCCATGCTATAGAGGACCCCGTTCCCCCACCCCCGTCACGGTTTTCTCTCCTCCCCCCTCCCCCGGTGCTGTTCCCCAGGGTGGCACCTCGCGGGCTGGCAGCACGGAGCCGGTGCCGTCCACCCGCCTCTTCCACGTGCACGGCACCAACGAATACAACACCAAGGCCCTCGAGGTGACCCCGCGCGCCTCCTCCCTCAACTCCAATGACGTCTTCGTGCTGAAGACGCAGGCCTGCTGCTACCTCTGGTACGGGAAGGTGGGTATGGCGCTCGGGAGCCTCTGGCTGGGGGGACGCGGGGGCCACAGCCGGGCCCAGAGCTGGAGAGCCTGAGCCAGCAGCGAGATGCTCGGGGCAGAGAAGTATTCTCCCTGGCCTGGGAGAGGCCGGGAGCCACCTGTGTTGTAGGGTCCCCCAGACACCTGGCTGCTCCCTGCTGGAAGGGTCCCACCCCCTGCTGCCATCCGGCTTCCTCCCACCGGGATCCCGTCTTGCTCCCCTGCCAGCGGGGAGGATGGTGCTGAGGATGGGCCGGACCCATGACAGGTTCTCGGTGCTGCAATCGGAGGCCGCGCGGCCCCTCCGGGGGTCCTGATCGATCGCGCTCTGGTCCCCCGCAGGGCTGCAGCGGGGACGAGCGGGAGATGGCGAAGACCGTGGCCGACCTCATCGCCAAAACAGAGAAGCTGGTGATAGCCGAGGGCCAGGAGCCGGACAACTTCTGGGTGGCCCTGGGAGGGAAATCCCAGTACGCCAACAGCAAGCGGTAAGGGCTGCGCCCCGGCAGGCCCCGTCAGCTCTGGGGGGAGGGGGGGGTCGAGCCGTATTAGAGTTAGTGCTCGAGACACTGTATTATAACAGTGAGAACAGCCCTCAGCTCATGTCTAGCTCTTCCCAGCAGCAGGTCCCAGCGCGCTTCACCGAGGAGGTCAGTATCAGCGTCATCACCCCCGTGTTACAGATGGGGGAACCGAGGCACGGGGCGCCGAAGCAGCTTGCCCAAGGTCACCCCGTGGCTGAATCCCAGTACGGTGCTCTATCCACTAGGCAGCACGGCCTCGGGAGGAGGAAGTGCGCGTTACTGACCTCATTGAAGCACTAATGGGCTGGCTGGGTCAGTCACCGCCCCCGCCCCCGGAGGGGAGCGGTGGGTTTGGCTGCGGGCCGGCCATCGCGCTACCTTCTAGGTTAGGGTGGTATCATCTCAGGTGGCAACTCGTGTTCTTATCTGCAATGTGCCAGGCCGGTGTCTGGTCCCTCCAGTGCGTCCCAGGCCTCGCAGGCTACGGGCCCGGCCGTCAGTGCGGCTCCGAGGTGTGCCGGACGTAGGGTCGATGTGCGGCAGCCTGGCGTGACATCACGGCGTGACCGCGTCGGGACACATCGCTGGGGGGCAACGCGAGGCTGTTGCCCCCCAAGGTCAAAGCCCAAGGGGTGGAACCTTGATCCAGAGAACTAGGATCATGGCTGCAGCCAAATATTCCTCCATGCAAGAAAGCCCCTTGGCCGCCGTTGCGTGCTGGCCCAGGGTAGTTCTCCAGGTGGGCAGCCCCTGCGCCTGTTGGTCCCCAGGGGTCATGCGGCCAGACACCATTTTCCTTGGCAGAGCCAAGAGTCAGGCTGGGTTCTCTAGTATCTGACCCTCCTTCCCCCCTTGTCTACAGACTGCAGGAGGAGACCTTGTCGATAACACCCCGCCTCTTTGAATGCTCCAATCAGACCGGCACGTTTGTGGCCACGGAGATCACCGATTTTAACCAGGACGACTTGGAGGATGATGACATCTTCCTGCTGGACACCTGGGACCAGGTAGGGCGGGGGCTGGGAGGGGCCTGGGCTCCTGTTCAGGTTCCTGGGGTCTTACAGGATGGAGGGAGCTTTAGGCCCACTGTCTCCCCCAGGGAGGGCTGTATTATGGTCCCCCCAGCACAGACGAGGGAGCCGAGAGACGTCTCTCCCCCACAACCACGCAGCAAGTCACTGGCAAGCCAGGCTTAGAACTGGGAATCTACTGACCCCTTGCGTGGTCCTCCGGGCCACATTGGCCACCCAAAGTCCCGGGGTGAGGCTGCAGCAGAGCCAGGCCTCTAGCCCACAATTCCTGGCTCCTGGCCCCCTGCTTTCAGCCCAAGGTCCGTCCGTCCTCTCCTGGAAGAGACCAAGCGCCAGGGAACGCGATCCTGCACTGGCCCAGGAATGGGCTACTCGGGGCTTTCCCACGTTAGTGGCTGGCGAGGGGGCGTTGTGGGAAGCGGCTGGCACTGGTACGGAGGGGCTGTTCCTCGTGCAGGTGTTCTTCTGGATTGGGGAGCACGCCAACGAGACAGAGAAGAAGGAGGCGGCCGTGATGGCGCAGGAGTACCTGAGATCTCACCCCAGCGGGCGCGACCCTGACACGCCCATCATTGTGGTGAAACAAGGCTACGAGCCCCCGACTTTCACGGGCTGGTTCCTGGCCTGGGACTCCCTGAAGTGGAACGTGAGTAGCTGTGCAGGGGTTCCCCGTTTCCCCTGCCGCTGGCAGGAGATGTGGGCGCAGGCAGGGCATAAATGCTATGTCACCCTTCAGATTAAACAGCCCAGGCATCCAGAGACGAACTGGGTAGCCCTGATGCCCTTGTAATCCACAGGCTGGGGGTGGGGGGAGCCTCCCACACAGCGAGCCTCTGCCCAAGGAGCTCTTGGGCTGATCGGTCTGGGGCCTCTAGTGAGGCCCAGTGAGTGCCAGAAGCTCTGGGGCGCAGTCACCCATTCCCCAGAACCAGCTGCCGGCCCCACGAAAGGCTCCGTCTCCCATTACCAACTGCCCGAGACAGCCAGTCCCTGGTGCCGGTCACTTAATGACCCCCGTCAGCACAATCCCCGTCCTCCGGCCCAAGGGCTGCCAGGTGCCGCTGACTCCGAGACGCTTCCACCCGTGTCTGCAGCAAACGTCGCTACCCACCAGGTCCCCTAGGGCAGGGCTCCTGCGCCTCTCTCCCTGAGCCCTGGCCATCTCCCCCGCTGGGGAGATACACCCAGGACTGCTGGGGAGGTGCAGGCCCAGGGCTGTATGGAGATGGGGCCAGGCACTGGGACCGAGGCCCAGCGCCGGGGGAGAGATTTGCAGCAACCAGACTCATGAACAGAGCGGTTCTGTCTCAGCGCCTGGCCGGCTTGACTCCAGTAACCCAGCCAGCTCTGCTCTCCGGCACGCCTGGCTCAGATCTCGCTTCTCTCCTGCAGGACAGGAAATCCTACGCGGAGCTCAAAGCTGAGCTGGGAGAGGACAGCCAGTTCAGCCAGCTGACGACCGTGAGTCTCTTGGGGAAAGGCAGCCTGGGATAGCCGGGAAAGACGCGAGGGCCGGTGGTGCTGAGCTGCCTGCCGTGCTATGCACACCTCCTGGTCATGGCTAGCGAGGGATGCCAAAACTCCCAGGCTTCCCCTTCCCACACCAGCCGGGACCCGGCTCAGTCAGGGATCGGAGTGGTTCATGGTTTGCCCACAGAGCTGTCCCCAGGCGCAGACAGTGTCACAGCCATGGCATACCCCGCCCCACAGAGCTTGCAGTCAGATTTAGGCACGACCCCAGGCAGAACCCTTCCCCCTGCGGCTAGGTGCGGGGTTCCAGGTCAGCCTAGAGGTGGCAGGAGGTCGGGACGGCAGCCGTGAGACGCGGTGGGTACGTTGGCGAAGGCTGGCGCACAGCACAGGGCAGGGGTGGTACATGTAACAGGGTGGGGGCTTTGCGGAGCAGGCCAGCAATAGCTCCATGTGACTCTTCCCCCCCATCCCCGCAGGAAATCACAAGCCAAGACGTTTTCACTGCCAACACCACCTTCGGCTCAAGGACCTTCCAGACCTTCCCCCGGGAGCTGCTGGTGAACAAGTCCTTGGATGAGCTGCCCGAGGGAGTGGACCCTAGCAGGAAGGAGGTGAGAAGGGAGGGACATGTGTGTAAATAAGAGCACGGGGGGCAAAGGGAACTACGTCCCGCAGACAGTGCTTGAAAGCCGAGCCGAGCCTCTCAGCTGTAGGGGGGATATTTGCCACAGGGCCAGAGCGGCTGACACCGAAATCAGGGCATGGCCCAGTGCAGAAGCAGCAGCTGGCCCTGGCCTGTAGTGCAGGTGGGCGTTTAGGGTCTGATCCTGCCCCAGGGACAGAAGAATTTCCTTGGACCCCCAGGAAGCAAAGAGCAGCTCCTTAGCCAGCCAGCTACGCCCAGATCTCAGCTCCGTGGTTAGTGGAGACACCCTGGGGCACAAGGAGTTTAATACCCAGCCTGCGAGTTCAAGGGGGCTGATTTTCCAGGGGCCCATGGGTCACCCCCCAGCTCCTCATTCGGTCTGGAGGAGGGAGGGGACTTAGCTAAGGGGCTGAATTCATTATTTGAGGCCAGTGTCACTCAAGGGTGGGCGGCTCAGTGGGGTTAATTTTGTTGTGTGCATTAAATATTGTCCGAGCACCTACAGCCCCGGCCTAGAAATGGGCCTGCAGGGGGCGCGCGTGTCCACGGCGGTACCAGCCCCGCCCCCGTAGAGCAGTTCAGAGAGGCGGGGGCGGTTTGCCCCCTGCTGGTTGCAGAGGAGCATTAGCTGGCCCAGTAGAATTACCCAAGCGTTAAGCATCCTTAGGGGCATCCTCAGCAGGAGTTTTAACAGAAGGAAACAATCCGCCTTGTGCCACCGGCTCCAAGCCAGCCTCCTGCCGGCCTCCCCTGGCATGGAGGGTCAGCTGCAAGGCCGCCTGCACAGCCGTGAGCCAGTCGAGACAGCCAGGGTGGAGGAGGGAGCGTGAGCAGTTCTGAATGCCCACAGCAGGGCAGGATCCTGAAAGTAGTGACCCGGGCCTGGGCCCGGTGCTGTCTCCAGCTCTGAGCTGCTGCAGTCATTGGAGTGTCTCGGAGCTGGGACGTGGCCAGGCCTAGGGACTTCTGTCGAAATGGAGAGGGAGTAACTCCAGCCGACGGCCTCGGGTTCCAGTCCCTGTGGAGACTTGCAAAGGTCTAGGATAAATCAGCTGCTTCACTGGTGGCCTCCAATGGCTCACGCCTCCCTCAGCTCTTGCCAGATGCATGTCAGATCCAGAGCCATCTCCTGGTGGCTGGATACCAGCCTGGAGAGTGATGGCTGCCCAGGGCATTATCCCAGGAGGAGGCCCAGGTCTGACTTCTGTCACAATTCCTGCTACCCAGCAAAGCCAGAGGGCTGGGAGGTTGTAGCTCAGCAGGACGGCCCTGTCGGCAGGACCGCAGTTGTCACCCCCACCTCATCCTGGCCCCTCTGCCTCCCGCAGGAGCACCTGTCCAGTGACGATTTCACCGTGGTCTTCGGCATGCCCCGGAATGCCTTTGCTGCCCTGCCCCTGTGGAAGCAACAGAAGCTCAAGAAGGAAAAGGGCCTCTTCTAAGCGGAGCGGCAGCGAGATGCAGCCGGAAATGTGTTTGGTTTAGTATTTTTATTATTAAGAAAGTAAAATTAAAGTTAATTCAGAGAACGAGGCTGCGCGCTTGCCCCTGCTTCGGGGCCTGCTAACCATTCCTCCCATTGTGATTTTTTGGGCAGGGAAAATACTGATCTCCCACTAGGCTACAATCTTTACTTTCCAAGCTACCCTCCTGGTTGGGTTGGTTCGACAGCTATAATTCGTGTGTGGGGATCTTGCCTTAGCAAAGTGGTGTGGCAGTGGGTAGGACGGGTGAGTGTTGACCAGGCTCTCAGGGAGCACGGCTCCTTCACCCCAACTGATTTGGTCTGTTCCCCAACCTCCGCACAGGATTGTGCAGAGGCAGCACACTCAAGGGAGAAACAAGAATAGAGGTGGGAATCGGAAACCTCTGCCCTGTAATCCCAGCAACGCCACCGACCTGCTGTACAGCCGTGGGGATGTCCTAGCACATCTCTGCTTCAGTTTTCCCATCTGCCTTAAGCCGTGGTTTGAGGTGCCAAGTAATATGTTGCTAAGTGGGATTAGAATGATCTTCAGTCTTTCTAGATGTCAGATCTTTGCAAAGCTGTTTACATTTTCACACCCATTGGTACCTCACCGCTAAAGATAAAGTATACACCCCACGGCTGCAGCCTCCATTAGCTGTTAAGCCTTCAGGAAAAGTATTATGCAAATATTTGTGGTGCTGAAGGTAAAGGTTCCAGCCACCGCAGGGAGTGACATTTTAAAAATCCGTATGCCACACACTTTACTGAAGCACAGCGCAAACTTTAATGACCTTGACCACGTTTGTCTTATTTGTATTACCATGGCACCTGCAAGCCCCAATCAGGATCGGGGCCCCATTGTGCTAGGGGCTGTACAAACACATAGAAAGTCCACCCCAGTCTAAGGGCAGGTCTTCACTACAGGGGGGGGGGGGGGTCGATTTAAGATACGCAAATTCAGCTACGCGAATAGCATAGCTGAATTCGACGTATCGGAGCCGACTTACCCCGCTGTGAGGACGGCAGCAAAATCGACCTCCGCGGCTCCCAGTTGACGGCGCTTACTCCCACCTCCGCTGGTGGAGTAAGAGCGTCGATTCGGGGATCGATTGTCGCGTCCCGACGAGACGCGATAATTCGATCCCCGAGAGATCGATTTCTACCCGCCGATTCAGGTGGGTAGTGTAGACCTAGCCTAAGGCAGGATACACTTTGTGGGAGAAAGAGGTGACGGGTAGGTCAGTCTCTACATTAGCTCTGATGTAGGTAATACCTTCTAGGGCAGTGGTTCTCAACCAGGGGTACACATCCCCCTGGGGAGTACGCAGAGGTCTCTCGGGTACATCAACTCATCTAGATATTTGCCTAGTTTTACAACAGGCTACATAAAATGCCCTAGCCAAGTCAGTACAAACTAAAATTTCATACAGACAGAATGAGCAAGTAAGCAAATTGTCAGTAACAATGTGGCTGACACACTTTGGTATTTTTATGTCTGATTTTGTAAGCAAGTAGTTTTAAGTGAGGTGAAATTTGGGGGTACGCAAGACACAGACTCCTGAAAGGGGGACAGTAGTCTGGAAAGGTTGAGCGCCACTGCCCTAGGGATGCAGGGCCTATTTGCTACAGCAGATGTTGCCAGCTGTATCAGACTTAGCATGTTTTTTTGTTAATACGATTCCCTCCCACTCAGTATTGAGATGTGACAATAAAATTTCCCTTGTGACTTCAATTTGGATTTACACTCTGATCTCCGAGGCGAAATGCAAACGCATTAGCCAGAAAGCCGCACTTGGTAGTGCACTGGCAGAGTTGTGGATCCACGAAAGTGCAGTGGGAGAAGGGAACGTGGGCTTGTGAGGGGATTCTTATTAACCACGGACAGAGCTTGGAGCTGCACAGACTAGACGCTCTTGTCCAAAGCAGCTTACAACTGAAATAAATGCACATCTCCACTGACAGGCAATAGAAGATCCTACATATGCTCTGCAGCAGCCAGCGCTAGCAGTGCTGCTTTCACTAGCACTTAAGATCACTAAAAAAATGCACAAAATAAAAAGTTACTGAGCATAAGAGTGGCCAGACTGGGTCAGACCAAAGGTCCATCCAGCCCAGTGTCCTGTCTACAGACAGTGGCCAGTGCCAGGGGCCCCAGAGGGAATGAACAGAACAGGGAATCCTCAAGTGATCCATCCCATCGCTCATTCCCAGCTTCTGGCAAAGAGAGGCCAGGGACACCATCCCTGCCCATCCTGGCTAATAGCCATTGGTGGACCTATCCTCCATGAATTTGAACCCTGTTATAGTCTTGGCCTTCACAACATCTTCTGGCAAGGAGTTCCACAGACTGACTGTGTGTTGTGTGAAGAAATATTTCCTTTTGTTTGTTTTAAACCTGCTGCCTATTAATTTCATTGGGTGACCCCTAGTTCTTGTGTTATGAGGAGTAAATAACACTTCCTTATTTACTTTCTCCACACCAGTCACGATTTCATAGACCTGAATCATATCCCCCCTTAGTCATCTCTTTTCCAAGCTGAAAAGTCCCAGTCTTATTAATCTCTCCTCATACGGAAGCCGTTCCATACCCCTAATCATTTTTGTTGCCCTTTTCTGAATGTTTTCCAATTCCAATATAGCTTTTTTGAGATAGGGCAACCACATCTGTACGCAGTATTCAAGGTGTGGGCCTACTATGGATTTATATAGTGGCAACATGCTATTTTCTCTCTTATTATCGATCCCTTTAATGATTCCCAACATTCTGTTCGCTTTTTTGACGGCCACTGCACATTGAGTGGATGTTTTCAGAGAACTATCCACGCTGACTCCCAGATCTCTTTCTTGAGTGGTAACAGCTAATTTAGACCCATCATTTTATATGTATAGTTGGGATTATGTTTTCCAATGTGCATTACTTTGCATTTATCAACATTGAATTTCATCTGCCATTTGGTTGCCCAATTTTGCAAGATCCTTTTGTAGCTCTTCGCAGTCTGCCTGGGACTTAACTCTCTTGAGTAGTTTTATATCCATGGAACAGAGCCGTGCTCTTCTACAGTACAAACTAGTTTCTTCTTCGCTAAAGGTACAGTACAGGCCCCGGCGTAAGCAGAGTGGAGTCCAGTGCTCGGGTATCCACATCTATCTGAGTCTACAGAAAACACCATCTTTGTGGAAATAAGATTCAAACTCATCAGAGGGTTAATAAAGAGGTTTTAATTTCACAAAAATCTATCTACACATCATTTAAAAAGGAAAAAACAAGAGCAAAACTGTAAAGAATACAGAGGAACAGATCTGCTAAAACACAGAGAAAGTGCTGCTCCACATCAATTGTGTAAAGAATCAAAAGTCACTCAATGCAGAATCTAACCCAGTCATGTGGCATCTATCCTGGCTGCTTTCGAACACACACACACCTGGAACCCCTGCCCCACCAGTTTTCAAAGAATTATGTAGTCAGGAGGCACGTAAGACCTCTGGTGGGACGGGGAATACTGACAGCAGAGTGCAAAGGATACATAACCCCTTTTTAGTCTCTCTCTTTGGCAGTTGATTACAATCTTAGATTAGATCAGTTAAAAAGTGACCCAGTTAGTTCTTTCCAGCCACACACAACTTCCCCCACCCCCATCCAACCCCAAGCAAAGAATTCTTCACGGGCATCTAAAACCTTCTGTGAATTTCAATAAAATGTTAACACTGGATAATCAACTGCTTCTCCCATTGGCTGCAGTGCAAACAGCATATGCTAATCCTTCCAGTACATCAGACACAGCACACACAGAAAAGGAAGTTTTCACCAGGATGAAAACACGGCCGGGGAGGCAATCTGCCAAGGTTAAACACATCAAAATGCTCTTCTCCCAATTATTAAGTCCTCATATTATAGACTGAAGCTTTAGTTAGGAAGCTAGTACCTGCATTTTGTTGTTGTTGTTGTTCTTTTGCACATCCCAGTACAAGTCCTCTATGTGGACTCAGACACAGCGCAATATCTGGGACAAAAATTCCAGTTCATTTACATAAACATTTATACATTTATCATAAAAAGTAGCCGAATACAGTGAAGGAATAAATCAAGAACAAGTCAGAGCAGACATCCGATGATGGGGTGGGGGTGGAAGGAAGAATGACATTGGTGTTTTCTTTGTTTTTTATACGCTGATGCACAATCAGACCAAACTAAACTGGCTCTCGGGTTCTTTTGAAACCGACAACTCCGTATATTTCAGCAAATGTCAAAGAGTGTTTTATAACATGCACTCCATAGAACCCTCTCTAATTAATAAGATACAACACATGATCTTAGCTCAAAGAGCAACAGCACTCCCCCATCTCCCAGAAAGCTCCACTCTCTCTAGCAGGCCTCAACACTATTAACACAGCCATTTTAATAAAGGCATTAAGGGTTTGTAGGATATTTAAATGATTTCCTCTCCAAGATATCTGATGCTAAAATCCCTACATGTGCTGGCTTTTATTTGGTTTGTGTCTGTCCTACATATAATCCAATATGGTTGTAACGGTTGCACAGAGCTCAGCTCTACTGAATTTCAAAGTTATTGCAAAAATACAAGTAGTATTGAATGTGAAAGTGAATTAGATATAACACAGAACACTGGGAACACATACTGCCCCTGATTCTGAATGAACTAGCTATGCTGTGCAAAACCCCCAAAGTATATATTTATACATACACTCCTTGACAAGTTACAGATTTCCTTCCTCATTGTCACCCTGGAGCGGAGAGAAAGAATCCATCTTTAGACGGGGGATGTGGGGGTGCACAGTGTTGGACTGACAACCAGTTCTGTTCAGGAAAAGGTTCATAGGGCCAGGCAAGCTGCCATATGCCAAAAAAGTGAAAAACACATATGTTCACTAGTTGTTTCTAGCTATGCTAAGTGAGAACCTGGTTTTCACTAGAGGGACCATGAAATCTGGTTTTAAGCGTCAGCTCTCTCAACTCCGGATCTACATCAAAAATGGTTTTATACATAAATTAGGGTAACAACTAAAATTGGGCAATCTTGGATTTTATTAGAAATGAACTGATTTGGAGTACTGTGCCTCAACACGATAATTTGCTCCCCACCAAGCAATCAGCAGTGCTAACTCGCTGATATGATAAGTACATTTGTTATTTTAAGCGCCATGTGTGCTGCTTTCAGCATGTAGGGAAAACAGGGATGCTGGTTAAGATGAGGAAGGTAGCTTTGCCTTTATGATGGAAGAGATCTTTGCCACATTTTCACAGGTATGTGCCCTTTTCAGTAAAAGAAAATTCCTACATTAACTCCCCCCCCCCACACACACACATTCCACTAACATTCACTGTTGACAATACAAAATCATAATGATTTATAATAAATTAACATGTCATATACTACTGGTGCTGCACCTTATGAGGTAAAAGCTTTGTCCTGTTTGTGACCGAAGTTTAATGCTTAGGCCATTTACTATGAGACCAACACAACCAATAAGATATTATCCAAGCCGTAACAAAACTCATGTAGATTCGCTTGGTACATAGACCATAAGATCAGCCTTAACTCTATAAGATCTGGGGAGAAATTATTTTGCCTCCTGTCCTCTACAGCAATGGTTTGTCTACTTAGCTCTGGGTGGTTTATTCCTGAGAAACTCCTAACGGTAGTTTAAAAACAAATATCTTTGTACTCTCTGTAACCAATTATTCAAATAGCAAAATCCAAATTAGGGGCAGAAGAGTAACTGCTCCGATGATTAGCAACAATTTCTTTGCAATAAAAGTAAATACCAATTAAGGGAAATATTTGCCCATATTAAATAAAAGACCATTTGAAGGTTCAAATAAAAATTAAATCACTGGGTATTTTTGCCAAAGTCAGCTATAAAATGAGCGTCATGTTACCAGGTACAATTAGGATAATAAAATGTAACAGTTCTGCCCTGTAATATCTTGTGTTAACACTCAGTACAGGTTTTCAAAAGCTTCTCAACTGATTTAGTTTATTCCAGCTGAGCAGCCCATATTCCTAAAAAAACAACAGACAGCTAGAATAAAAACCTCTCTGTCTCTGTGTGATTCCTGGGATCTGTAGGGACAATGTGAAATTATGGATCAGTCTAACAGCAATCCAAGTGCGAAAAGAATTGTTCAGACTTTCCACTTGAGGATGACCGAGACAAACCTTTCTGCCTGCACACCCTGAAGGGTTAATGCCAGAATGCTCTTTTTCCAATGTGTGATGCAAAAAGAAGAGTTGTAGTTCACTTCCTTTTCCTGCTCAGCACTGGCTCTGCTCCCCTCCCAATAGGCCAAAGCTTCCCTTCCATCCCACTGACTAGCTGCTGCTGTCACAGTCAGAACAAGGCAGCTCAACGTGATGTAAAGTCAGTGAGAAACAGATAGACTGACAGAAAGATGTAAACTGCAGTATGCAATGACACTATGAAGAAAATGCAGTCAGAAAGAATAAACTTTTTAAATGAAAAAAATATAATCTCATTTCTAAACAAAGACAACAATGAACTGTATACGATGACAGAGTGTGAGTGGGTATGCAATACATTCCACAGCACCAATAGTTTGTTTCCTGGAACTGCATGTAAATGGCAGAGCACTTACAACCTCATGAATGTCAAAATGCGTCAAGTTGAGTGATGTCGGCACACCAGTTGGCAGGACAGACGGGCAGTAGCGTACTTGGTGATCTAGGTTTCCAGTGACTATTACTGACACGATACATGCCAGGTTGCAGGCTGTATTGCTTTAATTGCTCGTGGGGG